AGGTGGGTATGCTGAGCACATGTGCTCGCAAATGCACACATCATTAACACACACACACACACACACACACACACACACACACGTGTCACACTGTGCACATACATACACACTGCACACACACGCGCGCGCACACACACACACACACTGCACACACACACGCTCACACACACACACATCACATCACATCACATCACAGCACAGACCTGAATGCGTTTGCGTATGGTTCATAGTCGATGTAAAACGCGTGACGATGCGCCAGGCCCTCCACAAGACGAGCGAGCGTGGCGTTGTGGGGCGTCATGGGTATGTATGGGTGGACCTGAGCAGCACTGTCACGCAGCCACAGATCATCAATATCGCCAGTGATGACAAACGCATCGCCGTGCACGGCTTCGGGGTGCGAAGGCGGCAGAAACTGATGTGCGATAGTCGTGGCGATGATGGCAATAGTCGTGGTGGTGATGGACGTGGTGATGAAGGCAATAAATGTGATGATCATGATGATGTGTAAGGACGGTGGATACTGCAGCCAGCGCGTTGGTGCATCACTTGGTCCTCAAGGTTACAGCAGGAACCATTGCCACGTGCACCATTACTTCACACACACACACACACACACACACACACACACACACACACACACACACACACACACACACACACACACACACACACACACACACACGCATGCACACACACACACATACACACACACACACGCACACGCATATGCATATGGACGTACAGTGGTGCAGGAGCGAAGCGCATCCCACAGTGCAGTTCGGCACATCTGCACGACTTGCCAGCTGACAGGGACGCCCTCAACACTGCAGTTGGCACACAAGCGGGGTGCCGGAATTAACACACATGAGCCATGAACAAACAAAAGGCGCGCGTGTGTGTGTGTGTCTGTCTGTCTGTCCAAACACACTTCACACTGCAAACACTACATTACCCACTACACACGACACACGGACACTGCAAACGTTACACAACACACACACACAAACACGCACACACACTGCAACACGCACACACACACACTGCCAACATATAGCGCACGCACACGTCAAACCCACATTGCACGGTGCTTTGGCGGGCCTTTCTTGTTTGCCTTCCGAATGGCCACTTCAGCATCATCCCGCTGCTGAGGACTGCCATCCTCACCATGCCCTTGCACTGCTTGTGGCTGGTGTACATGTGGCGGTGTGCGCACTTCCTGGTGTGCGCTGATCTAACGAAAGCAAACAAGCGTGTGCATGTGTGCATGTGTGTATGTGTGTATGCAGTGTGTAATCGTGTGTCTACGTTGATAATCATAACTGTGCACTCTCTGCTTCTCCCCCAACACACACAGACACATACACACACAAACAAACACACACAGATACGCACACCCATTCACACACACACAGAGACACACAAACACAGACACACACACAGACACACACGCACACACACAGACTCACACACACAAACGCACACATATACATACACCCTCGTTCATGTTCAGAACAGCACTACGACTCACCTGTAAGCTCTGCTGCTGCTGTCTTGGCTGCTGCGCCATGACAGGGTCCTTCTCAAGAGCGTGGCGGATGCCTTGTGCCGTGTCTGCCATGCTCTCCACGGAGTCAATCAGCCTTGCCAGCACACGCCGATCATCTCGCTCCTCGAGCTGAGCATCCGCGAAGATGTGCGCAGCCACATTTGCACCGCCGTCAGCACGACCCCTGCTTCCACTGCTCGCATCACCTGCTCCTGCTGGTCCCTGGCCCTGGAGGCCAAACACAAACGCCACGGTCGCAAGCAGCACCACTGCCGCCACAGCAGCAACCACAACAACAACAACTGCACGCCGCTGCTGCAGCCACAACAGCCGCAACGATCGGCCCACCATCGCGCGGGCGCAGCAAGCGACAGCACAAAACAACCACAACCGAAATGATGTCATCTGCGTTTTTTAATCATCCTGCGCGCGATTGCGTCCTCTCTTGCCCCCTTGCGTCCTGTTGTCGTTGATTGCACGTTTGCGGCGCAACAAAACACGACCTAGCGCACACCACACAGATTCCCGCTGGCCAACATACGTCATGGCACCCAACCCTCGCACCGGTCGGTCGTTGGGACAATGCTGCGCCACCTCGCACGCAGTTCGCTCGCAATGTTCCAGCACTTAAGAATTGTTGCAGCCCGCCGTGCCCAGGGGTTGGGGCCACTTTGTGCTTTGTGCTTGTTCTTGCTTTGCTTTGTCATCATGTGTGCCTCTCTCACTCACACACACTCTCTCACAAACAACAACCGCCGCCGTGCCTCTCTCCCCTTTGTTTTCCTTTTGCCTGCACCATCCGGATGTCACATACTTGTCGGTGCACCTTTATTCACTTCCACCCATCATGCGCACTGAGCACCTCAACCACACACCACAGGAACCACCCTCATATACCGTCACACACTCGCGCGACCTATCGTGCACAAGGTCGGGGAGGTCAAGCCACCAAGCTGAGGTGGTAAGTCCAAGTCGCACCACCCAGCTCTAGCTTGTTGCTTGCATTGCAGAGGGGGAGAGGACTTGCATCATTGTATCCCCACACCCACAACCTTTGTTCACCACCACCTAAGATCGCTGACACTGATCACCAGCCATCGCCAATACCTGTCGACAATTCGGCAATTAATAGGCCAACTAGCGGGGTTGTCCCCTCTCCCAGTCCGCCCCAAGCTGGGCCTTGATTGGCCTGTCAAGTTGCTTGCCATTCCAGCTGGAAAGCTAGGTTCTTGCGGCCTTGCCCGTGTTCACACCAACTCGCCTGCCTATCACAGAGGTTAGTGCGCCTGTTGCGCGTGTGCATGCGTTGCGTGCGGTGCATGCGTTGCGCGTGTTGCGCGTGCTGCGTGGTTGAGTTTCTTCGAACGAAATGTCGGGTGGCTGGCTCGCCGGCATGGGTCGTGCTGCTTTGCATGTGAGCATGGTTGCAGCCTGCTAGCCTGCTGCACCCAGGGTTGCAGCTAGCTTGCCCCGCTTGCCCCGCTTGCTTCGCTTGCTTCGCTTGCCCCGCTTGACAGAGTTGTTTCGCCCGCTTGCTTGCCGTTTTGCGTGACTTGCGTTCCTATTCATGAACGCACTGCACAATCACCACATTCCCATTCACCTCAACCCGCTCCTCCACGACACAACTCCTCCCGCATCTCAAGCCACACTTTCACGATACACACACAAACACGCCACACACATACTCCTCCCATGGGCACACGTGACACACCTATGGTCTCATTTACACACACACACCTACTCACTGACACGTGCACACGCACACACGCACGCACGCACACACTTATTTTACATGGCATTACGCCGCAATCTGTGCTTTCCCTCTTCTGATGCTTCGGCGTTGATTTCCGTTTCATTTTCCTTTATTCAACAGCTCGACCTTCTCCAAGCAAGACCAGTGTACTCAACAAGCTACGTGTTATCGCACAGTTATTGCGAGCTCCGAACGGCTTTACGGCAGCTTCGAGTTGACTCGACACGGATGCCTGTTGCATCCACGTTCACCACCAGCAATACTCCAGCAACGAGCAGCAACAACAGCAGGCAACAGCAACGAGCAACAACAGCAGGCAACAGCAGGCAGCAGCAGCAGCAGCAGACAACAACACCACGGCAGGCAGTACCTTTAAGTGGCTTTGTCACGACGACGACGACAACGACAGCACACGCATACTTGCCTTCAACCCTGTCAACCACAAGGTCACGTGTGCTGATACACTCTTCAGCCACACAACATCTGCACCATGGCAAGCAACAGCAACAGCAACAGCAACAGCAACGGCAATAGCCAGCCGGCCAGGACGAGGAAAATGCGAGGCCGCAGCGACACGACCGCCACGGCGTGCACTGTTCTGAGTCTCCTCTCCACGGAAACGGCTGCGGGGGTGTCCCGGGCATCGTTTTCGTCTGTCGTCACAAATGCGTCCGCGTGCTCGTGTCGCGCGCAGCCAGACAAGTTTGCTGCGTTTGCTGCCGCTGCTGACCCCTGGGCGTGGGATGACGACCCGGCTCTGAGCACATATGGGTTAAAGCACGAGAGCGACATACGCACGCTCATCAACGACACGATGCGGGCAGTCTCCGTGAGCGGGCACAGCGACAGGGACATGAAGCGCATCACGGCAGGGTTCACCAAGGCCTTTGCTGCCCTCGGCATCGCCATCCCGCTGTCGGAGGTGGTGAAGATGGCAGAACTTGTCGTGTTGAGCATGAGCGCGCCGCACCGCATGTACCACGCCACGAAGCACGTGTTTGATGTTGCACCGCCAAACCCGGCCGACGACCCGCTGGCCTTTCTTGCCGCTATGTTCCACGACATCATCTACCTGCAGGTGGACGGTGGTATTGCCCCGTACTTCCTGCCCATACTCCAGCGCGCGCGCCTGTTTCTCGTGCCGAAGAAGGACATGTTTGACCGGCTGGTTGCGGATGCGCACGACCGCATTCACCGCGTGCTGCAGCGGCGGGCTAGCATGATGACTGCCCAGCACGGCGACGGTGCTGCTGTTGGTGGCAGTGACACAAGCAATGGTGGCGGCCACCACAATCACCACCACCACCACCACCACCACCACCACCACCACCACCATCACCTTGATGATGACCATCACAACGCCAATCACAACGGCGGCAGTCACGACAGAACTGGGAACGATGGTCACCGCAAGCAAGACTCTCAGAGCAGCAGTGCGTCCTCCTCTTTGGAGCGAAGCGACTCGACGCCAGCACGCGACATGAGCGCCACAACCGCAACCACAACCACAGCCGCAGCGACGACGACGACCACCAAAATCACCAGCAACAGTTACAACAACAGGAACCACAACCACACGCGTGGACGGCGTGGGCTTGCGCGGCAGGCAAGAGTGGAGGTGGAAACGGACGAGTTGTGTGGTGCCGACACAATGTCACCGACATCTTGCACGCCGTCTGTGCAGGGTGATGCGTTTGCACTGCACAAGGGCACGCATGCACCTCCCTCGGTTACATCGTCGGCCCCTGTGGTGGCAGCATCACCCACATGGGCCAGCAAGCCGCAATTGCATGGCGGCAGAAGTGGCCGTGGCACTGCTGCTGTCGACACCGCCGACGGCTCACCCTGCAACAAGTGCGACAGTTCCAGCGACACTTCCACAGCAAGCTTCACCAGCACCACCAGCACCAGCACCAGCAACAACACCAGCACCAACACGACGGCCACCGCCCGCAGTGACACGTTCAGCTGTGAGTCGCGTTCGTGCTCGTCTGTCACCACGCCAAGCACGCTGCGTGGGGCGTGCGGCAGCCGCCCTTCCACCGCCACCTCCATCCACACCATCATGGGCTGTGGTGATGTTGATGATGCAGGCGGAAACAGCGAAGGTGCTGCTAGATGCGCCAGTGATGGTCGCGCCGATGGCGAGAGCGCTTACACGGTTGATGTGATTACCGAAGCCAACCACTCTGGCGCGAACGTTGGTGGCGACAACATCAACGTCAGTACCAACAGCATCAGTGACAGCAGCACAAGTGGCGTTCCAGAGGCACTTCGCCCCTTTCCTCAGCGTCGTCGCAAGCTTCAACAGCAGCAGCAGCAGCAGGACAAAACGGATGGTGTTGATCAGAGCCAGCATCCCACCGCAACTGCTGGCGTGGCCATGCATGACGGCATCTCCGACTCTCTGTTTCAGCAGCAGCAGCAGCAACAGCAACAGCAGCAGCAGCAGCAGCAGCAGCAGCAGCAGCAGGATGCACACTCGTGTTCTGATGCCGCATCATCATCATCATCATCATCATCATCGTCGTCGCCTTCTCAGCCATCATCGCTACCATCGACAACACCTGCACCAGCACCACTGGCAACACCACCACCACTGGCAACACCACCACCACTGGCAACACCACCACCACCACCATCGCGGCGGCGCGGGCCAGCCCTCCGTCGTCAGTCGTCCACGCTGACGCGCGAGCAGCGGCAGCAGCACTACTACGCCATCAAGGGTCAGTCCTCGTCGTCATCATCGTCGTCGATGGACATGCCAGCCTCGCCCCACGCAGCAGCACCTGGTGCGATGGCGGTGGGCGTGGCAGCAGCAGCAACAACAACAACCCCACTGGCACCGCTGGCACTGCTGGCACCAGGGGCCGTGACGACAGCACCGACGATGTCAACAGCGGCGGCAAGGATAACGGCGATGTCAATTCCAGAAGGAGTTCAGGAGTCTGCAGCAACGCCGCCCCTCAGCCCAGAGCCACACCACCAAGCCCACCACCAAGCCCACCACCATCAACAAGAAGAAGACCACCAACATCATCAACACCAGCAACAGCAACAACAACAGCAGCAGCGGCGCCAGCGGTTTGCGCGCCGGCGCGGACACACCGTGGGCGTTGTTGGGCACCGGGATGAATCTTTCCTTCCCAATCAGGAAACTGTCGCCATGATGGAGCGCGCGGGCATGATGGGTGCGCGCGCAACTGTTGAAGATGATGGCCATCACGATCAACACGTTACGCGGAGTGCACCTGCGGCACCCACCCACTACGTGCAAGGCTCGTCAACAATAACACCTTCAACCAGCAGCAGCAAGACCGGTGGTAATGGTGGCAGTGGTGGCAGTGGTGGCAGTGGTGACGTGCAACAACAACAACAACAACAACAACAACAACAACAACAACAACAACAACAACAACAACAACAACAACAACAACAACAACAACAACAACAACAACAACAACAACAACAACAACAACAACAACAACAACAACAACAACAACAACATCGCCGGGCCCGCCGCAGTCGTGGTGGTAGCGTGTCGCGCGCATACCACACTCGCGGTCGCTTCTCCCGCACAGCCGATGCTCAGGATGCACGCCTCACATTTGGTGGAGCCAGAGGCTTGCAGGCAGCATCACAGCATGGCAGGGTGTCTCAACAGGCGGCGACGCCAGAGGAAGCAGGGTCAAACACAGTGGACCAGGCGTTGCTGCGATCCTTTGCCAGCCCGCAGGATGCCACGGTCGACTTTCTTCTCAACAGAATAGAGCCGTGGCCGCAGCTGCGGGATTCACCACATGCGCGCATGCACCAGCTGCACGTGCTGTGCCGCCCCGAGCGATTGGCGCTCATGGCGTACCGTCCATTTGAGCAGCGCACTCCAGGCACTGGCGCCAAGGACACGCACACAAGGGGTGGTGGTCGTGGCGATGGTGATGATGGTGATGATGGTGATTGATGGTGATGGTGATGGTGATGAGAGTGTCGGGGATGTGGTGCAAAAGGCCAAAAGGAAGAACCGGCGGGAGCGTTTGAGACGAAGCAACACTGTTGTGGCACATCGCAGTGATGATGATGATGATGATGACGACGGCGATGATGATGATGATGATGATGATGATGATGATGATGATGATGATGATGATGATGATGATGATGATGATGATGATGATGATGATGATGATGATGATGA